AACCCCCCCAACCCCAACATGCCCCAGCCTCCGGCCCCACAGCTGATGCTGCAGCACCACATCCTCCCGGCTCTGCTGGCTGGAGCCGCGATCCGGGTGCAGCACAGCCCAGAGCCCCACCTGCCGACTGGCACTGCTGGCACCACGGGAGGGAGGATGGGCAGAGCGCGGTGGCAGCGGCACCAGCCAGGCCCCAGCCACCACCAACACCAAAACGGGCAGGAGGGAGCCTCCAGCAGCTTCGGGAATGTCAAGAGCCCAAAGGGGGACAAAGAGCACCCTGAGCCTGAACTGTGACCTGCTGTGAACCCCGCTGCTCTGCTGCACTTGGGCAGTTTGGGAGCAGGCGGGAGCTGCCGCAAGGAACAACCCTATCACTCTGCAGAGCTGTCCTCCCCAAAAACTGCCCCAGTTACACCAAGCGACCTCTCCACCGTACACCCCCAGAGAGGCCCTGCAGACTGGGAGCAGAACAAGGAACAGCCCCCACCTCCCTCCCAGTCACTGCCATGTCCAACTGGGAGAGCACATTTAGGGGAGAAGGGAAGTGAGGGCTCATCCTCCCCCCACAGCTCCAGCAAACAAATTTGTGGGGAAACACACACAGACCCTGGGGCTGACAAATGCTAAGATGTGCTAAGAACACCTGCCTACAGACAGCTCCCCAGCTGTGCTGTGGTACTGACACAACACCCACACAGCAGGCAGAAGTCACCACCCGCCGCTTCTGAACCAGGCAACTGCAGATGCTCGCACAGAGGCACCCGACCTCGCCAAGGAGGCCAGTGGTGAAACCCTGAACCCCCACGGGAGTTGTGTAGCATCCGCAGGTCACCAGGACGCTTCCTCCACACCCTGGCTGTGCCCCCAGGCCTATCTCCTCTCCCTGTGACATCTCAGAGCTGCCAGCATCTGGGGGTGGCAAGGAGGTGCCACTGCAGGAGCTCTGCCCACAAGAAGCAGGTCAGAGAGTCACAGACATGCACACAGCAGAGCCAAGTGCAGCTCCTCCCAGAGCAGCTCCCAGTCCTCCCAGTACAGCAGCAGGCTGTGCAGATGGCCGCGGGTGAAGCGCGTTACCTCCAGATTGCTTTGGTGGGTGATTGGCTCCGGCCCATGCACTCCAGTGCTGCTGCATACGAGTCCAGGCTGGGCTGGAGGCCAACGGACTCCAGCATGGAGAACAGCCGGTTGACACGCTGCAGGCAGCCCTGCGGGCAAGAAGGGAAGGGGCTGCGACACCAATACCCGCAGCCCCACATCACAGCTTCACGCCCTTCCACTCCTGCTCAGCTTTAGCCACGTCCCTCCTGCCCCATCCCCTTCCTCCCCTCAAAGCCACCTCACAGGGCCCAGTGCCCTGACACCAGCTCCGTCCCTCTCCGCAGAAGCCCAGCCCTCCCTGAACGCCTGCTGAAGGCAGAGGTGACAAACACAGGTGAAACTGTGACCACCTCATCCTCCCAAACCAGCCCTCTCTCCCCACAAAAAGCTGAACCAGCGCAGGGCAGCAGCTCCCAGCTCGGTACCTTCCTCGCCCAGCTGCGCATCACGATGTTGTATGCGTTGACGTTCAAAAGCCTCCTCTTCACAGGGGACCTGCGGCACTGCACAAGGAACCTCTCGGCCTCCTCTGGCTGCTGCAGGAAGAAGAAGCACTCGAGGTTGGACTGGAGGGTCTGCTGCATGACCTTGTGCTGGCTGCCGTCCTTGTCCTCCAGCACCCGCCGAGGCCTCTGCGCTTTTGTGCTCTCCTTCACTGCCACCACTCTGGGCTTGCCATGGGCAGGGACCCCATGGGAGCCAGCGTGGCTCTGGCTGCAGGCACCAGCCACTTCAACCTTTGGGCTCTTCGGGCTCTTCACGCTCTTCTTGGTTTTAGCTTTGGCCTTGCCCTCTGTCTTGGCCTTGGCCTCTGGAGCGGGCTGGGACGCAGCGATGGATAACCTGCGCTCCACCTTCAGCTGCTGCATGTGCATCTCCTCCTTCAACGTCTTGACACAGCTGCCGGGCTGGGCCGGGCTCTTGCCCCTTGCCCTGGGAGTTGGCTGCTCCTCTGCGTGGCCGGCAGCCATCGCCTTCCCCAGTGGGTTCTGGTGCTTGTCACTGCCCAGCGGGGCCAGCTCCACTTTGTTGACCATCACCTCTGAGGCATTACTGGCTTGGAGCTGCTTCACTCGAGCTTTTAGCACTGCCAGGAAACACAAAACCCGGGAGAGGTGAAGGGGTGCAAGGTGTGGCACGAGGCTGTGTCCTTCCCTGGCGCCTCGGGAGCACCCAGGAATGTGCACAGGAAAAAGGGATCCACACAGGACTCCCTCCCTCCTCGGCCAGCCCCATGAACACCCTTTTCAGGATCTACACACCTGCTGTGGCCCACCCCAGCATCCCAGGGAACCCAACAACGCCATCGCAAGGGAAGAAGCACCAGCTGACACCTGGCTAACGTGCTGCCTGGTCGTGTCATCAGGATGCTCTCCAAGGACCTCATGCCCTCAGGTCCCTGGGCAGAGCCCAAAGCCAGAACACATTCCAGGTCAGTCTGCAGGGCCCTTGCATGCCCTGGAGGGACTCCTCTACTGCCCTCAGGACCACCCTGTGCTTCACAGCAACCCAAAGTTCCCTGTGGGTGGGGTGGGCCTCCAGGTCCTCGGCACGGGACAGAACTTGCCCAGAGAGGCCAACAAATACACAGGAAACCCCACATCCTTGTCCAGGCTACAAGCATTTCTAGGCTCAAATATCTTATTCATGGCTACACAGAATGGGAAGACTCCTAAAAAACCTCTCAGGACACCGAACAAGGGAAGCCCCTGCAGCTCTCCCAGCCCTTCTCAGCTCACCTTCCAGCAGCTCCGTCCTTTCACAGACAGCATTTCTCCCCGCCTTCTCCCTGGCGCTGGCGGAGGAGTAGCTCCTCAGAACGCTCCATGGGATCCCTGCAGTGGAAGGAGACAAAGACCAGGGGGTCAGAGGGGGCTGCATCCCATATACCGCTCAGTGCTGCGGGTGCCAGGGAGGCCGCAGAGCGGAGAGTGAGTGGCGATTCTCAGCTCAGCTCAGCTCACAGTGCCACAGAGGGGCAGGGAGCAGCTCTGTGCCAGGTACACCCCCTCACCCCCTGGCTCTCACCCCTGGGAGGGAACCCGACCCCAGAGACGCCACAACCCCCAGCGCTGCTGCAGGGGGTGACAGGGCCCCAGAACAGGAAGACCCTGTCCCACAGGGGGACAGGACCTCAGGGACCCGCATTTCTACCCTCAGGGAACGACAACGCCCCAAGACACCCACAGCCCCTATCCCTTCCCCTGGGGGGG